TTAGTTTAGTCTCATTTGAAACCGCCCAACGAGTGTCTATTTTCCTTTGAATATTATCAATTATTTTCACACACACACACACACACACACACACATATATATATATATATATATATATATATATATATATATATATATATATATATATATATATATATATATATATATATATATATATATATATATATATATATATATAATTTTTTTTTTACAGTTTTTAGAATTGTATTGATCATAATAAAATAATTGTAATTGGATATAATTTTGTCATACCTCGAAATTTTCTTTTGCGATCTGGAAAATTCAAACCCGAATCTGGTAAACTTTGGTTTTTCACAAGTGGCATCACTGACAGCGACCCGCCGTCCAGTAAGAGTAGGGCTGACTTTACATATAGCATCTACCATGACTGCATCAAGAATTTTCTTCCTGGACTGCAAATCTGTGTCTGTTTGATTTTTGATTTTTCTTAATTAGATTTTCTTTCCAGTTAACATGTCCCTTATAATCAAGTGACACTCTCAGCCCGTCTGTACATCATACACTGTATTAAAAGTCAAATGATAGTAATTAAATATTTTCCACGTCATCTCACTCTACGCCACCTATTACAATTGATATTTTAATATTATTATAATAATATTAATTATTATTATTATTGTTATTATTATTATTATTATTATTATTATTATTATTATTATTATTATTATTATTATTATTATTATTACTACCTTTTTTTTTAAATGGCCTCCAGCCTCCCACAGTAGTCACACCTTCGCGTCCATTTTATTGCCTTAAAATGAAATCTCTCGTACAAAAATAGCTACCCTATCCGAGACGAGTCAGTGACTATTGCCTCAAAATCAATATCTGTGGCCGTTGTCGGATTTGAGGCAGAAGATCTCGTTCCTCCTAAGGCAAATCAATGCAGACCTAAATAGAAAGGACAGTCGACATCTCAGCCAGGCTGTAACGTAGCTTCTGGGCTGCTGCTTCCATTCAGGTAACACCTCTGCGATTCTGGTATATAAACATCTTGCACTTGTTCCCATCCCACCAGAGGTTGTGAACACCAGAGGAGTGAAGCTGCCCTGATCAACAATCAGAATTCTTTCCCCATATGCCATGATCTTGTCATTCTCGATCCTCCTGTGTGCACCATCGAGAGCTAGGTTACGGTGACATGCGGCCGTGGGATCGAAAATCCTTATGTCAAAGAAGGCTCGCTGTCCCTGCGTCCAGAATCCCCGGGCACTGATGTCCACACGGGCTTCTTGAATATATTTGAAGTCCTGTGATGGAAATTCTCACCGTCCAATGGAAGGAGGGTCGGTTCTACCTTGACAACATGGCAGATTTCCTTCAACATATTTGCTGTGAGATCCCTTACTTCGTCATGCCTTATGCATACGCAGCCCCTTTTCTTGCACACCATGGCGTGGTCGATGTCATAGGAAGAGCCACACACGCATTAGGAGGGCATACCTTCTACTGGCCTACCGTACCTTAAAGCAATGGAATCTGTGAATTCTTATTTATTAAGACTGAAACATTTTGCCTTTATCGGTAACGTTGTTAGCCAGTTCGAGGCTCCCACCTTCTGCGCTGTCAAGTTCTCTGGCACTTGCAGCATCAGCTGTTGCAGTTTATCACTTTGGGTGTGTTGTCTGATGTTCAGTGGCAGCAAGCTCCTCTGGATTGGTCAATTCCATTTCTCCCAGTCTCGGTGGTAGTGCAAGGATTGACCTTGCTGCTGGGATTAAGTGAAGGTGTTTCACTAGTTTTGGAATAAAATTGACTCTGATGGCTTCTTCCAGAGGGTAGAGGAGGGGTCCGATATCATGGATAATGCGCATCAGGTAATTCCAGTGATGTTTGACTCCATGGGCGTATGCCGCAAAAGCAGCATGTGGCTCTGTTTTAGCAATATCAGACAGAGCTTGGATTTTCTTCACCCACTCATTTACCTTTCCCGTTACGTACTCGGTCTTGAAGTCATTCGTGCCGATTACCGCACCTAAGTGTCTTTGGCCCTCCTTTGTTATTTTGAACCCATTTCCTCCGAACACCTTCATTGCCAGTTCATAGTGTTCTGGCTTCACAATGAGGAAGGATTTGCTGGCATTTGGGTGATACCCTATTTGTGGACCTCGTGTTGTTGTCAAGTCCCATCACTTTTTGATGTCCTCCACTTTCCTCTGCACTTGCAGGGGGATGTTTTTCCTTCAGTTGTTGTAATGTCACTCTGTTTATTGGCAGAACACCACCGGAAGATTTCTCTGAGAGATCATACCGCCAAGGACACTTTTTCACACTCGCTTCTTGTTTCCAAACGGGACCATTACCACCCTTAACCTGCCCGAGTTACAAGCCACAGCCTACGAGGACTTAACAACACCAGCGCCTCCTGTTGTGCAGGCACCAATTCTCCATCAGTCGGTGGGCCGAACCTTTAAACTGGAGGCCGAGGTACCACCAAGAGGAACTTATGTTATCATATACCATAAGGAAGATTAACATCTCTAATTTTCAAAAATGTATGATAACAGTGTCATGAGCACAGCTTAAGTGGAGAAAATTCATATTCAAGAAGGGCGCCCAAACGACTTGCATGGGCAGTTCGAAGTCACAAGTCATGTAGCTATACCCTGCATTTTACCATATATATGCCTTGTATTTGTGATTTTAGAGATACAGTCTTGCATTTCCCATCTTGTAGATAATAAATATGCAGTATTCGTGTGCCTAACCATAGTAATTTGCAATAATTATCCGTCATAATGTACCCATGCAGTAAGCCATATTGGTTTCACATACGTAATGTGGAAATAAATAACTGATCCAGAAGGTCATCCACGCAAAACGAATAAATCTGCACTGAGTAGAGAAGTATAATTTTTTTTCCATATGCAGAAATGTTACCGCAACCTCGGGCTTGCATCATCGATAGTATGGCACTTGTTCATACTGTCGCCGGTGACAAGAAAACATGAAAAGACATTGCAGACTCTATGCTGGCTATGATTCTCAGGGAAGGTGAAGGATGTAGGAGAATTGATGTGGTATTTGATGTATACAAGCCAGTGTCTATCAAGTATGTAGAGCGAGAAAATATGGCTGGAGATACGGAAGTTCTGACTTACAAACATATCTCTCAAGGCAACAAGATCATGCAATGGGCAAACTTTCTTCATGGCACAACAAACAAAAAGAACCTTTTAACATTTCCCATTTCTCAGTGGAAAGAAGCTAGGTGCAGGAGGAAAGCTGCAGAAAGCAATACAATCATGTATGTTACATGTGCGGAAGATCGTGTAAAAATATCTGGTGGATGAATTGAAATGTACACATGAGAAAGCCGATACGAGAATCATCGTACATGCTTCATACACAGCTAATTTTGCATATGAGGCAATAATTATTATTTCCAAAGACACTGATGTTTGAATGTTGTGCTTAGCGTTTGCCTTTGGAATTTCTACACCATTGTATCAAGTGTGCGCAACAAAGACCAGAACACGGTACATTAGTATCAACCAAATGGCACAGGCTCTCGGATCCTCTGTATGCAAGGCTATCCTTGGAATGCATTCATTCACTGGATGTGATACTGTCGGTTCTTTTGCTGGCAAAAGCAAGCTTTCAGCCCTGTTGTTCGAAAAATTTGGCAGTGATTGGCAGGTACCGGGAGAAATGTTCAGGCAACTACAAGGGTTTGTTTGTGCTTTGTATGGAGCAAAAAATGGCACTGATGATATCAATTTGTACATATATCAGCTTCTTTGTGCAAAGAAAGGACAGATTAAATCATTCCAGTTTCCACAATGTGCAGACTGTTTGTTCAAGCATTGTCTTCGCTCTTGCTATCAAACGGCTTAAATAGTTGAGTGCAAGATGTATGTGGCAGTGTATAGATTAGTCGACTGCATGTAGTTTATAGTGCTTGTGTTTTACTAGATACTCAGTTGTATCACTTATTAAATCATACATTAAGCATGCAAACTTTCCTCTTTGCATTTCTAAGCATTCTTTGATATCCATAACCTATGTGTATGCAGTTAAGAATAGTGGTACATGTATGTTGTTATATCAAAGCAGTGACTGGCAGTTACCAGTCATTTTTGTCAAAATGTTACTTATGCTTGATTTATCATCTAGCAAGGCTAGAATTTAATATCAAACAGTCTTTATTATTTTTGACAATACTATTTTACGTTCAGCAAGTTTTGGGGATGACAGTGTCTGCGAATGCAATACATTAGGATGTAAATGTTTACATATATTTGTAGTTAGGTAATAAGCACCATTCTGGGGCGCAAATTCATTGTGTTGATTTTCTTGTTTTTGCTGTGCTCGTGTAAAGTGTATATAATTCCTCCTTTGAATTTTGGTTATAATTTACGTTCATACATGCTACTTATTGTTATGTAAGTTACTCGACATGAGTGCATTATGACCAGTTTTAATTTGAAAATCACCTGGATCACACTCCCAAGACTATGGTTATACATTTTACTAATGCATGTAGATTGACAGACTGGAGATATGCAACACCATAAAGAAGAATGAAACCTAATTATGTAGTGTACAGTTGTGAGTGTCACTTAACAATGTCGAGTTGGCAGTATACGGTAACCCTGTTTAACATAAAATTTAACTACTGAAGCTGTACCATATGCACTACTACCATACATATTTGGAATCTAAAGGTTTTAAGCTTTCCAATGATATATGATAACTTTAGTGACTCTTGGTGGTATCTTTAACCCCTGTTGGCCCACCGACTACAATAACTATCAACAATATCCACTATGATCACTTCACGCACCACATCCTTCCTCTACTATTACTACTACTAATAATAATCACAATATTATTATTATTATTATTATTATTATTATTATTATTATTATTATTATTATTATTATTATTATTATTATTATTGTTAATGTTGTTGTCCTAAGGCAACAACTTTATTTTCATGTGTGTTGATTTACCAGGATTGTTTGCGCGAGGTATCATGCAGTCTGGCACACTGCTTAGCCCCTGGGCAACAGGGGGATATTTTCGGGAGGTAGCGGAGTACACCGGAACACTCTTCAACTGCCCATCACACCAGGGAGTACCTAGTGATCAACATAGCAGTTTTCTCCTCAAATGTCTCCAAAGTATTGATGTTCAGAATTTGACCCTTTCATTAATGGATCATATTGTAAGTTTTTTTTTTTAATGCAAAGTCTTTAACATAATAAAATGAGACTAATACAGTTGTCCTATTCGTTTTCAAAATATAAGTTATTTTAACGAGCTTTTTAATTTCAAGGAACTTAACATAAAATACCAATTAAAGATTATTAAATCTGAGACTGATTGCTACAATTTTCAATTAATTATGACAAGAAAATTTTAAAATAAACATATATCTTTTCAGAAGATTAATTGTTAACACAGCTGTATGTTAGTAGCCAAAGTTTCCCCCGTGTTTTTAGCCAAATTTTGTCCCCCCTCCCCCCCCTGCATTAGTACCCAAGGTTTGTCTTCATGTGTTAGTAGCCAAAGTTTGTCCCCATGTGTTAGTAGCCAAAGTTTGTCCCCATGTGTTAATAGCCAAAGTTTGTCCCCATGTGTTAGTAGCCAAAGTTTGTCCCCATGTGTTAGTAGCCAAAGTTTGTCCCCATGTGTTAGTAGCCAAAGTCTGTCCCCATGTGTTAGTAGCCAAAGTTTGTCCCCATGTGTTGGTAGCCAAAGCTTCTCCCCATGTGTTAGTAGCCAAAGTTTATCCCCTAACATTAGTAGCAAAAATGTACTCAAATTTTATCCTCGGTGTTTGCAGCCAAACTTTGTCTCCTGCATTAGTCTGCCCCCGACTCTAGTAGCCAGAGTTTGTACCTCTTCAATTATTAGCCGAACTTTGCCTCCCATGGCGTTGTTAGCTAAAGTTCGACCCCAGTGTCAGTAGCCAAAGTTTCGCCCCTTTGTTAGTAGCTAAATTTTGCCCCTTGCATTACTTGAAGTTTGCCCTCGGCGTTGTTAGCCAAAGCTTGCCCCCTGTATTAGCAGTTAATTTTGATGACCGTTGGATCAGTCTTACCACTGGATCAGTCTTATGTGCAAACCCCCCACACACACACATACGCAGTTTAGAGATTGGGAGACAGTCATCAAGAATGCATCTCTCTATCGCTCTCTGGATATGAGCTCACAGCTACAGCTGTGTCCAAAGGTATATTGTGTATCATAGTATTACCACTAATAAACTAAAAACACAACAGTGTTTCTGATAAAAAAATTATCACATAAACACCGTTAACATGCACATAAGTGACTATCTAAAAAAATGGTTAGTTATAGCACTCCCTCCATTAGTAGCCAAAATTTGCCCCCTCTTTTAGCAGCCAAAGTGTACTACTCCCTGTTACTAGCCAAAATTTGCCCCTTCATTAGTAGCCAAAGTTCCCCCTACATTAGAAGCCAATGTTTGCCCTTGAATTAATAGCCAAAATTTGCCTTCCCCCATTATATATTTTCTGGATCCATCTTTGATAATCCTAGGTTTAATTTTTGTTTTACTTGCAGCATTTCAACTTCAACCCCGTGCTGCTGGGCCCGCGGGTGGATGGTGACTTCCTTCCCTCTGAGCCTGAAGTGCTCATGAAAAAGGGAAAGCACAAGTTCACTGACGTCATATCAGGAGTTAACGCTGATGAAGGAGGACTGTTTGCATTCCGTAAGTACTGTTTAGAAAAAAATACTATTTATTACACCTTTAATTCTAAATTGTTTCAATTATTTTTAAAACTGCAGCAGAGATAATTAATAAGTAACAAAATTATACACATGTGACTAGACTAACAAGACGTATACCTTTCTCCTCACATTAAAAAATTGTCGAGCTAGAAGTTGGGAATTCCATTCACTCAATATTTGTGTGTAGGTCCGCAGGTTACACAGTCAATAAACTGTGAGAATGAAATGTACTGTTAGTAAAATCTGCCCAGAAATGTTGAAGTCTATAAACATATTACACATTATTACTAAAAAAAATGTAGAAAACATGAAAAAATTATATTGTTAAGAACCCATCGATTATACTTAGCCAAATCACTCCTCTGCGCCCAACACAATCCACTCCCAATATTTCGTATAACATCTAAACTCTAAAACTTTTAAGAAATACAAAATAATTCACTTCTCACATATTGTTGATAAACAGACACTGGATAAAGCACACCGAATGCCAAGCCTTGGTAAAAAAGGAGGAAGTGCAGCTGGCACTCCACTCGACAGCCTTCACTTTACCAGCTGTAAAATTAGGTACCAATTCACAGGTTGGTGGACTGGGAGTGCCCCACTACTAATGGGAGAAATATTGTTGAAAATAGCCGTGTCATATATATATATATATATATATATATATATATATATATATATATATATATATATATATATATATATATATATATATATATATATATATATATATATATATACAGTATTACCCCGCTTTACGCGGTTTCACTTAACGCGATTTCTCATATACGCGGTGCCTCGCCAGAACCGAACTTTCACTTAACGCGGTTCATCTACTCATATACGCGGTGAAGTATAATATATTTTTTTTTATTTAGCTCATAAAATTCATACAAATTACCCGGCCAGAATATAATTTACATTGCTGGAATTCTTACAATATGATGATCATTTTGAATATAAACATCATAGATTTTGCATTAGACATACAAATTTTAGATATAATGTTTACTCTGAGTAAATATGTTATCTTTTGTGCAAAATATATGACATTTATATTCAAAATATTCCTGGTCTTACAAGGAATCCAGCAATGTCAATTATATTATCCTAACTTTAGTTTGAGGTATTATTTATTACTAAAAAGGTAAATATTCTGGTTTTCCCACACATCTGGTAGGGAGGGTTGGTGGGGGGTGGGGGGGAGGAAGGGACCGACCGACCATCTGGCACGTGTGAAGAATATATATTTTTTTTTTATTAACTGAAGATATTTGTTTTAGCTCATAAAATTCATACAAATTACCCGGCCAGAATATAATTTACATTGCTGGAATTCTTACAATTTGATGATCATTTTGAATATAAACATCATAGATTTTGCATTAGACATACAAATTTTAGATATAATGTTTACTCTGAGTAAATATGTTATCTTTTGTGCAAAATATATGACATTTATATTCAAAATATTCCTGGTCTTACAAGGAATCCAGCAATGTCAATTATATTATCCTAACTTTAATCTGAGTTATTATTTATTACTAAAAATGTAAATTACTATTTTCTCCCAAAGCTTCTCTGGTAGGGAGGGTGGTGGGTGGGGGGGAGGGTTGGGACGGACCGACCATCTGGCGCGGTTGGAAGAGGGGGGGAGGCAAGGTGGGGTACTTTGATTGACAGATAGTGTCGTGAAGAATATTTTTTTTTTTTTATTAACTGAAGATATTTGTTTTAGCTCATAAAATTCATACAAATTACCCGGCCAGAATATAATTTACATTGCTGGAATTCTTACAATTTGATGATCATTTTGAATATAAACATCATAGATTTTGCATTAGACATACAAATTTTAGATATAATGTTTACTCTGAGTAAATATGTTATCTTTTGTGCAAAATATATGACATTTATATTCAAAATATTCCTGGTCTTACAAGGAATCCAGCAATGTCAATTATATTATCCTAACTTTAGTTTGAGGTATTATTTATTAAAATCTAGTGGTTTTCCCCCAAAAATTTCTCTGAGAGGGAAGAGCCAGCAGTGTAGTGTGAGAAGAGAGGGAGGGAGTCGAGTCCATTATTTGAATGGACATTAAATTGGCGACTGTATTTCTCTGTTTCTCTTAAGTATTAATTGTGTGCATGTACCATCATAAAATTAAGATGTTATTTTTACTAGAACATAGTTGTGTGTGGTCAAAAAGTGGAGTTTGGGGGTCGGGCCAGTCTCTATTGGAATTAATCCCATATGTTCTGTTGTTCACCTAACGCTGTTTTCACTTAACGCTTTACCCTGTGGGTTCAATTGACCGCGCTAAGCGGGGTACAACTGTATATATATAAATATATATATATATATATATATATATATATATATATATATATATATATATATATATATATATATATATATATATATATATATATATATATATATATATATATATATATATATATATATATACTGGTGTTAGTAATATTTATGGTCTCAATAATTGACCTGGGACAGTTATATTCCCGATAACTCATCTGCAAGAATCATTTGCGCATACAGTTAGGATGAGTTTACCAGGCTTACACCATTGGTATTCAAGACAAATGTCGGGTGGCTACACTCTAAAACTGCTGCATGGCTCAGTGCTCGAGAGCTCACTCTCCCATGACTGGTTTCCTCAGCAGCAGTAACGACACATACTGTACAGTGCCTGATAGACGAGGAAGGAGCGGTAAAAAGTCAGCTCTCTTCTCTCGTACATCACGTTATGTACGCAATGGTACCACAACAAGAACTTACGTACACTGTACGTAAGTTCTTGTTGTGGTACAGTCACCCAAAACAGTCCTGTCGCGAACCATGAACCCCGAGATTCAGACTCTTGAATCCCAAGCATTTATGGACAGAATAATGTATCTGTGTCTACTGCTTCGGGTTCACGAGTCTGAATCTCGGGGTTGGTGGTTCGCGACAGGACTTTTTTGGGTGACTGTACATATTCATTGGACTCGGTTACAGTATACAGTAGGCTATGAGAATCAGTGTCAGGATTCACACAATTTCTTAGGAAAACTTCCAATCTAATCAGTGTTTCAGTTTCTAATGAATCATGTAAATTACAAACAGTGCAGAGGATGGCCGTTGCATTTCAGAGCATTGAGAGTTGACATGTTTCTTTCAAATGATTAATGACTTTCTTAAGTACAAAACTGATAAAAATTTTAATACAGTTATCATGCTCTCTGATGACTGTGAATCAAAATGATTCTCGCTCCCATTGCAAACTCTATCATTCGACTTGCTTACAATTTTATTACAAATAAATACAGTTGACACTTTCAACATTACTCACAATTGATCTTGAATGTTTCAGATAAAAGTAGGGATACATATCTTTCGATAACACATACACATCCATTCCTAATTTTAAATACACATACATAAACATAGGATTTTCTTGAGGTACTAGAGTGGACTGTAGGGAAAATGGACATCTCATTGGGGGGACTCAAAAAATAAGTTATAGCTACATGTTTTATTGGCTATTGAGCGTAATATGAATCATCTGATTTTATGTTCACTAACATGTATGACAGTGGTCAGTACACACTATGCCTATAGACTTTTGGTATAACTGTTGAGCATTCATTAAATATATTTGTGTTTTTTTAACGATGTTCACTAAGCACTTCGCTTCAATGATGAGCATTGACGGAACATCAATTGCATCTTGAATACACATTAAATCACAACCTTTGACCTTAGGCGTAAATAAAGACCGTACATACTAAGATATATGTTCCCTTTGGAGCTCAAAAAAAATATTGAAAATGGCCTGTTGGGTAAGTAAGTGTGGAAGTTCTACATTCACTTACATTTTAGATTCCCAAGTAAGTGCTTCTTTAAAAAATAAATTCAATATGGTCGCCTACATTTACTATTTTCTGCTCCCTGATGAGCGCATTTTGTACTGTAATACTGCATAATTTGACTGTTCTAAAATATAGCCTAAACGCCAAACAGATTGTTGGCAACAAATTTTATTCCATTGATCCACATGTTAACAAATAAAAAAAAAAAATGCCGAGCAGTTTAAAGCAGGTCCTAAATGTGTACATATGCTGCCGGACTATCCCGAGGATCACGCCACACAGAGAGGGTGCATTGACAATGCTGATTGTACCAGTTGGAAGTGAAAGAGGCTGTACATTGTTTATTTGGTCGACTGAGCAAGACAGCAAGGCAGTAATGAATATTATAAAATTGGACTTAAACCTCATTGTACAATTTAGAAAGGCTATCTATGATGCAAACGCATAACTATTAAATAAACCAAGTAATATGATGGACCTGTATTTGCAGCACTCTATGCCTCTGAAGCACTGCAGTCAGACCTCTTGAGTGACTTCCCCAAGTTTGGTCCAGCATCACTCGACATCCTTCAAGACGATACTGATCAACCCGTAAAACTCGCCAACAAGATCTTTACTTACTATGCTGGAGGCGTTAATATCGACATAGAAAATGTTGACAACGTCTGTAAGGTTAGGCTCACTAATGATTGTCATTGACTGCTATGGTGTAACTTACTTTAATTTGTTTAGGAATTGTGGAACAAATATGGTCAACAATTATTCACTTAATGTCATACAGCTAACTCTTAAATGAAAAAGTGATAAACAGAATGAATAAACTTGTCATGTAACAAAAGGGGTCCATAATAAAGATATATTATTATTTTTAAAGTTGTTATCTGTCTTGGTTTAAGAGAGGAAGCCAATTCAGTACTTGGATATTTTGATTCTTCATTCATTAAATGTTTGATATTATTTTGTTCTATTATATTTTGTATATAATCTACAATTATTACTTTCACTGTAAATTCAAATGTAATCCTTTTCTATATAAATCAATGTACAGTGTTTGCACATCACCACTAGTTTTATGACCAATAATCCCCTTCAAGGTACAGCCAACTGCAGAAATTCGTTCCGAACCAACCAGGTGATCTGGTAACACTGTATAGGAATTAGTTGACACATAATATGCTTTAAATGGCTAGTTATTTAAGACTTATGATCGAGATTGTCTAAGAGCACTTATATTTTATGTACCCAAATATTTATCATTAATGTATAAAATGTGGGAAACAAATGTTATGGAAAAATATATGACTGCTCCAGGATGATTCACAACTGGGGATCTAAACATATGTGATTATTCTGACTGCTGATGCCAACGAGTATTTTTCATGTTTAATGACACATTCATTATCAAGCATTTTCAGCAACTTATCAACTTGAATTATGTTAAAGATAAATACAGTATACTAATGAGGACACATATAGCACAACAAGAAAAAAATTGGCAACTCAGCACATTTTAGTCATGTTAGTCATGGGTTCAATCACAGCCCTCTCTTTATCCCAACAGTTCAGGAGTGAAGGCTTAGAATTATATGCATTACGAAAGATTTAAATATAATTTGTTAACGCTCATAGGAGCGTTATTAGTTTGTTGCTGGAGAAATAAACCCTCAACGTTGACGCTTACCATATAATTCGGTCAAAACCTGTTAAAGAACATTTCTCATATAACAAATGCTGTTATCTCAGGACACATATTATGAAATACAATCAATATACAGTACATAGCCTGTTAACATCTTAAATATAACTCGCATGTTATAACTATTGATACAGGAGACAATTGGTATAATATGATCAAATTGCAGTACACAAATATACTTATTAAAGTTATTTAGAGTTTCTTAGCAGATTCTAATACTTCACGATCACTCACGTTTTAGGGTCTAGTGGTCTGAACCAACGTGTTGTCTGTCCTGTAGAAATCAGTAGACTACCCTCGAGGGCAATCTCAGCCCGGAGGCGAGGGCCATATGTTTTCGTATTGAAACACCTCAGCAGATTGGTCAGCAAATTCGTTGTCAACACTATATCTCATATCTCATCCCCTCTCTCTCTCTCTCTCTCTCTCGCCTAGTTTATCTTATTATGGTTATCCCTCTCTCTCTCTTCTAGCTTATCTTACTGTGGCGGTAACATAATTTAATAACAAAAGTTTACCATAATAAGTGTGGAGGTTACATATGATAAATTAAATCTAGAGAAAAAAGAATAAACATAATCCTTAATAAATAACCACTGTTGGCACCGTGTATAAACAATAAACCACCTTACAACACAATAATTGATTGTCACTGAAGGTTCCAATTGTTCCCTGAAGAAGGCAGTGATGGGTAGGGAAACACCGGGGAACACTGAAGTCCATTTATTAACGGATAGGAGAGATACAAGTAGTGAGCGGCGTGCGCATGAAGTGCCATGCACGACCCACGGAATCAGACTGAGGCTGCGTTGCCATATGGCAGTCATGGGGCAATGTTGCCACATAACACGTGCATTGTTGCCACGTAATTACATACATAGATGCTACTCGGCACAGTAGCTTATATACAAGGTTGTTACTCGGCACAGTAGCTTAGATACATAACCTACAGTCACCATGACTAATAATAAAGCAGCACTGAATATATTACTCAACTAAACCTTATTTGAAAAGGTTTCCACCACTGACAAACTGAGGCGTCCTCCTACTCCCAAGGCCAGCCAATGACTGATAAAGCTCCACATTTCATGGGACTACAAACCTACCACTAATATTAAACAACTCCCACATTAAGCTGCAAAAATACCTACATACATACAGAATTTTTTTTAGGTATCAAGTACCAGCCCTGCTCACACATCATTATACAAAAATATTCTATTTACATAAGTTTAGGGTAACATGCCTGAAAATATTTAAATATGCACAACGCAATGCACCACTGTACATAAGTCATGCATAACACCCCCCCCCCCTTAAAATAAAACCCGTAGGGTTTTACATTGGCAACACAGTTATTAGAGCTGCTTAATATGGCATAGACAGGGTATCAGCAATAATGTTATCCTCACCCTTGATATGTCTAATATCAATATTATACAGTTGAAGTGCCAAACACCAGCAAGTTAAATGTTGGTTTTTGTTTTTCATGCAAGTAATAAATTGCAAGGGGTTGTGGATGCTACATACAATGATTTTCTGGCTGCTGTTCCCAAGGTATACATCAAATTTATCTAGCGCCATTAACAATGAAGCTGCTTCTTTCTCAATGGTAGAGTAATTTTTTTGATGAGGCTTAAATTTAGTAGACTTGTTCCAGGTGCAAAACATCAATATTACCTGCTTGCAATAAAACTGCTCCAACTGCTACGTCACTCGCATCTACTTGTAAAACAAATGGGTTGTCAAAGTTTGGTCCCCTTAATACTGGCTTAGACATCAAAATTGCCTTAATTTTCTCAAATGCCTCTTGACAACTTTCTGTCCACGCAAAATTCCTTTTAAGACTAACTAAATCTGTTAATGATTTAGCAACATCAGAAAAGTTAGGGCAGAATCTCCTGTAATACCCTGCCATACCCAAAAAGTGTTGGACTGCCTTACGGTTTGTGAGTATGGGCAAGGTATCAATGGCCTTAACTTTAGCCTGGACTGGGACCACTGTCCCATAACCAATCTCATGTCCCCAAAATAATAGTTTGGCATGGCCAAACTCACTCCTAACGAAGTTAACAGTGAGCCGAGCACTATTAAGAGGACTGAACAGACAACGAAATGACTCAATATGCTCACTCCATATGGAAGAGAACACAACTACGTCGTCAAGATATGCTCCGACACCATCCAAACCATTAATGACAACTGACATCAAACGTTGGAAAGTTGGAGGGCGTTACGCATACCAAATGGCAGAACGGTATGCTGATACAAGCCATAAGGGGTTATTATTAAGGTGGTAACAAATGCCGAATATATGCGTCTCGCCCGCTCTGACTAGGGTACCTGAACACAAGGTTCAGCCAAATTATTATCACTCAAGAACTGCACCTCGTCATTCAGAATTTCGATTTTCTGGGGAGACATGCGGTAGGGTATTTGTTTCACTGGGTCTGCGTCGTCCACCAACACAACACCATGGATCACCACTGGGCTAGGTTGCGGCACATCACTAAATATGGGCTGGAATTCCTGTAGGAGACACATTGCATCGCTCCTCTGGTCCTGTAGTAGATGGCACAATTTAGAAGAAGGATCACTTAACACAACAGAATTGTTCAGTTTGATATCGGCTTTCAACTCCCCAAAGTCATGCTTATGTAACCCATCCTCCTCCACTCCATCTCGTGTCACAGTATTGCACACCACCTTATTCGGTCTAACACAATAGGGTGGCTATGACATAGTTAACATCTCCTACCTTACTCAAAACTTCAAAGAAACCCTGATTCTTAGCTCGTAGAGGAAACTTCCTAATGGGCAAGAACAAAAGCACATTATCCCCAACATTGAATTTTCTATCTTCTGCAGTTTCACCTTGGGCTTCCTTCATTTTACACCTTGCAAATTCCTGTACATAGTTCAACCTTTCCTTCGTCTTAACAGCATACTCATTTACAGTGCTTGATTCATCTTCTTCTATCCAGTTCTCGTGCAATAGTTTCAAGGGACCATGGACATCTCGGCCAAATATCAGTTCACTGGTGAGAATCCCAAACTAGACTGTGTGTGTGTAGTACATCTGATAGCATACACTAGATATAATATAAACCAAGATATAATATAATATAAACCAAGGTATAATATAATATAAACCAAGTACCCACACAGGTATAGGTTTTAAAGGTGCAGGTGACAATACTTGATTGGGCTTACTAGCACCACTGTACATACGCCATGCATAACAATATGAAGCTGCAGGAAATGTAATTTTTAGGCATATCTATCAACTCCTCTTACACTGTTATTAGTTCACCTGCCTCACACCATACAGGTTGGCTAGTAACGAATTTCTGATATTGACTGTTCTGTACAGTACATATACAATTGTATTATATAGTAATTATACTTTTCATTCCTTTTTTTTCTTCTCCAATCCAGATGTTTGGTGATCGTCACTTCAACATGGCTCACGACATGACTGCTCTCTCCTATTCTAAAAATGTAGAACCACATAGCAAGACTTTCTTATATGAACTCAACCACAGAGGCCAGCGGTCATTTGGAGACTTTTACAACACAAACGTTGGGCAGGATTGTAAGTTACAAAAGAGGTTCTAAGTTACACATAGTACATAAACATGATGCTAATTCCCGGTAATCAGTCAATCAATCAGAGTAGAGTAGCGTCCTCATATCTTGGGGTTGACGACCACAGTCCCCCCCGTTATCTGGCTGTGTAAAGGACTGGGACTTAGGGATAGAAATCCCTTACCAGACCAATCAGGATCTTAATAAAGGAAAGTCAAGGACCATGATTTTCTGAGGAATAACAAACAACCGTTTGAGATTGACATCTCTTTACTATAAAAAATATAACAAAACTCTGACACCACTCAACAAACATCAAATAACAATTACGGGAGTCAAACAATTAAGGCAGTTAACAGTTAAAGGAGTCAAACAATTAATGGAAGCAAACAATTAAAGGGAGCAAACAATTAATGGGAGTCAGCAATTAATAGAATCAAACAATTAATGGGAGTCAACAACTGATAGAATCAAACAATGAACAGATATTTCCTATGGCAGTGGCCCTGGGGGAAGGTTCTGGATCACGGTGATCCACACTCAGGGTAGGGAAGCGTCCATTCAACTCCACACTCGAGCGACAGCGGCCGATGTCTTGAAATGGCAGGAGAACACCGGGGCACAGATGAACTGACGGTCGTGGTATGCGGTAGTGGTAGATGACCAGAGAATTGACAGTCGATAGGTGAAGGTCTGGGAAAACAGCCCACGAGTCCAGGACCTATGATGAGATCACAGCCAGAATTTGACGAACAGCGGGGCAGCTAGATAGTGACTGTATGACGGCTGGGGTGAATCTGCCGGTGACACAGGTAGCTGCTGCCGTTCTCACCTCTGTACAACCCCCCCCCCAAGTGTTGGTCGCACCAGCAAACGAGAGAGTTAGCAGCGGTAACGAGCAGGAAGATCGTTTCCGCCCTAACACAGCTCCCCCAACAAAAATCTACTGTAAGGTAGATTAAAACTTAAGATTAGTACACAAAGCATAATCATCTTACAACAAATGCTTAAATGCATTTATCAAAATAAAGAAGGGTCACATAAAAGAATAGGTGGAAACTTGATGTCCAAAACGTAAGGCCGTATCAAGGAACTGCACGTGGGGTGCACTTCAGTCCAGGTTTAAGTTTGGGCCTATTTCCATTCGTTGAGTATTCTTCTATCTCGTCAGGTGTTATCAGCAACTGGCAACAGAGATCATCGGAGTCTGGCGCCCGAACTTCACAGGAACTCTTGCAGGGTAGTGCCTCGACTAACTCCAGCTTGGGAACGTCGTCAAGGACACGGGCAATGTGGGTCCTGCAATTATATTGCCTTAACAAATTAGTTTGGTGTAATTTAGGTGTCTTAGAGGAAGGGGGTGAGAACGGTCCAACAAAATCTATGGCTACCCGAGAAGATGGTTCTGCAATGGCGGGTTAGGGTTCAAGTGGAACAGGACGGACTCTACCCTTGGCGGACATACGCGGGCACTGATCACAACTCCTACAAAAAGCTCTAATATCCGCTCCCATACCTGGCCAGTAAAACTGATCAGCAACCTTCCTATAAGTTTTCCTACGAGAACAGTGACTTACTAGAGGGCTCTTGTGAGCTACAGAGAGAATGTTACTACGACAAACAGCAGGGACAACAAGTAAAACCCGACCTACTTTGGCTGGTTGCTTGGATGACACACAAGACCTGTGTAACACCCCATTAATAGAAACAAACTTATAAACCGACCCATCTCTCACCTGATCCTCCTCCCCGGAAGTCACCTTCTCCCTTACCCGCTTCAGAGTGGCACACGAGTCTTGAAGCTTGGCGAACTCCTTGGGCGTCACAGTCAGTGGCATCAAATTCGTCAGAATCAGGGGATGCCGCCGTTTCACCTTCGCCAACCTTTTCTCCACAGCTTGGACCCTTGCTGGAGGTGTGGTGGCGTGTGAGGGTTGCGAGGAGGCGTCGGCAGCAGGTGGCGTGGGGACTGGTGCTGGTGGCGTGGGGACTAGTGCTGGTGGCGAGGAGACTGGTGCTGGTGGCGAGGAGAGTTTTAAAGGTTCCGGGTCGTTAGGGTCACGAACACCGGGAACATTACCAATGAGGACACTAGCAAATTTAATGGGAGCTCTTACCACATTAGACCAACCAGTGAAATATGGGCAATGCAGGTAACACCTAACAACAGGGAACTGGTCAACACGACCTAAATAATCGGAGATACTAACCTTCGGGCAGCTGGAAATGTCAGCGTCAGGCAGGGCTTCCTCAGAGACAATAATGCACGAGCAACCAGTGTCCCTGATGAAAGTAGATGCCCTAGACCCATTTACTGTTCCACTGACACAATAACGGGGGCAGCTCCTGTCTTCCAAACAGAATCCGACCTTGTTGCTGGGCTGATGAGTGTCAGCAGTCTTGAAGGCGAGGGGATTCCTGGGACAGCGAGAACGAATGTGCCCTTCTTCTCCGCAGCTGTGACACCGCAAGGCTGGTGAACTACTCCTGTGTACTCCTGAGGATGGTTCCTCAGAGGACAGAGGCTTCGCAATCTTCACTACAGGAGGGGAAGACTTAGGGTAAGCGTTGCGAGCAGACACCCAGTTGTCGGCAAGATGAACAGCTTCTCCAAGCGTTGCTGGCTGGTGTTCTTTGATAAAAATTCTCAAGTCTGGAGGTAGAGAAGACAAAAACTGATCTAATATCATGAAGTTAGAGAGAGACTCAAAGGTTTCTTCAACCTCTGATGTCTCCAGCCATTGTTGAAACAAACGACCCAGGTGAATCGAAAACTGCTGGTACGTTTCTTCTGCTCTAATCTTCGTTCTGCGGAAATCAACACGATAACCATCAGAAGTCTTGTTAAATCCTTGCAAGAGAGCTTGCTTCAACAAGAAGTAAGCTCTGGTGATGTCGGCAGACAGGGACGTGTAAATCTCTACCGGTTTACCACTCAGTAGGCTACCCAACCTTACAGCATAACTATCTGGGGCTACACCAAGCAGCTCAGCTACCCGTTCAAACCTAACAAGGTAGGAGGCGATCGTCTTCTTCTTCACGGTACACAGGCAAGCTGGGTTTTACCACATTGTCTTGTATATGGCCAGAGGATTCTGGTCTACTTGAAGCATTAATCCTAGCTAGTTCTAGGTCCTTTTCTATCTGCAGCTTAGCTAATTCGAACTCTCTTTCTCTATCTCTCTGACGTTCCTCCAACTCTCTTTCTCTCTGACGTTCCTCCAACGCCCTCTTTTTCTGAAGTTCCTCCAACTCTCTTTCTCTCTGACGTTCCTCCAACTCTCTTTCTCTCTGACGTTCCTCCAACTCTCTCTTTTTCTGAAGTTCCTCCCTCGCTTTTTGACGTTCCTCTCTCTCGGCATTCTGTTGGTTGACCACGTACTGACCAACCTCAGTACCTGTCAGACCCAGGGCCACCGCTTGACTTTCAACTCCTCAAATTTATATATAATGATCCGAAAAGCCAAGAGCAAAAAGAAAAATGCACAACTTACCCGCAAATAGCCAAAGGTAACTCACCTAGTGGCTCAATCAGACCAATAAATGATTTGATCCGACTGGAGGGAACCATGTTCTGCACCCAGCCCAGCTGAATCACTCTCAGGGTAAGAAACCGAACCAGGTGAAACAACAACAAAAATGCTATGACAGCATCCACAGTGCACCCCAACCAACACTAATTAACTTTCCCAAGTACAAGGGAGAGCAACAAAATTAGCACAACAGGAGGACGGGATAAGCACTGAACAACACTTACTTCCGTGCCACAGACAGCAAGTGGCGCGCTCACGGCTACTTACAACAACACCGGAACGAGTGTTCGCCCTCAGAAACCAAAGGTCATAGACAATCCTGGCAAGGTCACCACTTGTAAAGGCCTGGGACTTTGGGATAGAAATCCCTTACCAGACCAATCAGGATCTTAATAAAGGAAAGTCAAGGACCATGATTTTCTGAGGAATAACAAACAACCATTTGAGATTGACATCTCTTTACTATATAAAATATAACAAAACTCTGACACCACTCAACAAACATCAAAAAACAATTACGGGAGTCAAACAATTAAGGCAGTCAACAGTTAATGGAGTCAAACAATTAATGGAAGCAAACAATTAAAGGGAGCAAACAATTAATGGGAGTCAGCAATTAATAGAATCAAACAATTAATGGGAGTCAACAACTGATAGAATCAAACAATGAACAGATATTTCCTATGGCAGTGGCCCTGGGGGAAGGTTCTGGATCATGGTGATCCACACTCAGGGTAGGGAAGCATCCATTCAACTCCACACTGGAGCGACAGCGGCAGATGTCTTGAAATGGCAGGAGAACACAGGGGCACAGATGAACTGACGGTCATGGTATGCGGTAGTGGTAGATGACCAAAGAATTGACAGTCGATAGGTGAAGGTCTGGGAAAACAGCCCAAGAGTCCAGGACCTATGATGAGATCACAGCCAGAATTTGACGAACAGCTGGGCAGCTAGATAGTGACTGTATGACGGCTGGGGTGAATCTGCCTGTGACACAGGTAGCCGCTGCCGTTCTCACCTCTGTTCCCCCCAAGTGTTGGTCGCACCAGCAAACGAGAGAGTTAGCAGCGGTAACGAGCAGGAAGATCGTTTCCGCCCTTACAGGCTGTTTTTACCAACCCCCCTATATTTTGCATCTGTCTGAGGAGCAAGTTTTTAATTTCGTTCATCCATCAGAGTCTGTGCCTTCCCCTGGCCCTCCATCCCTCATCTTTGTCCACTAATATTTCTGTTATTATTCCGTCATCCCTAATTATATATATTGTACATTTCAATTATTTCTCCAGAAGTTATTTGATAATCTTATTACTTTTTCATTTGTTAAACAGTCAGTGGGGCTTATTCTTATCATTCGCATATAACACTACATTTCAAAGGCCTCCAGCCTCTTTCTGGTGTTTGCTGAATGTGGCCAAGCTTCTAATCCATACGTAAGTCCTTGTCATACAAAGCATTTCAGCAGCCTTGTTTC